GGAACAGTACCAGTATCATCGGTCATTAGAATTAGAGAAAGAAGCCATCAGGAGATCTGAGTTTGATCCCTGGGCCCCATGTAGTAGGAGAGAACCAACTCCTGCAAGTTGTCCTCCGCCCTCTGCACACATGTGCACTCATACACATACCTGCAAAGTAAATAAGAATAATTTACGATGTAATTTGCGATGTAGGGAAAACAATGCAATAAATTGTACTTGCAAGTGTTTTGTCTTTTTTCCCCCGGTAATTTCATCAGAAACCATTAGTATATAGTTTTATCTTCTTAAAAAATACATTCCTTTTAAAGTTCTTTGGTTAGGCCCTGTGGTCATTAGTATTTTATTATTTAAATAGTGGGAAATTAATGTTTTCAGAGTATTAGACAGTGTTTATGCATTTGGGTTATAACAATGCATCCTGCTCTTGGGATGAATTATTAGATTACACAGCATCCATAGATTTCATAAAATAATGTTAGTGTGATGGCTTTCCACTAATGAAAATGAATGAGAAGAGGATGTTTTGAAAAAGATTTACAGGTGTTAGGAATAAACAGTATGTTTCTGTTCATAATCTATTCATCTGTACCCAAGGGAAAAACAATAAACACTTCAACTTTTTTTATATTTCCTTAATGATATTCTAGTTTTCTTCTCAATATTTAATATTTCATTACATGAAAGAATTAAAACTCTAGCTGTGCATAATTTCCTACCACACTACAAATTTTGCATTTCACTTCGCTACCCTAGCCAAACCACTAATACATCTAGAATATTTCCACAGCAATTTTTTAAAAAAAATGAAGGTAAATTGGTCTAGAATTGTGTTTTAGAAATAAGTATGCATTCAAACATTTTTACTAAAAAGTCCAATTATTTTTGCTTTTAGTATATCTAAACTAAATGTGAAATGTAATGGAAATGTTTTTTTCTTAAATTACGTCTGTCAATCACATATAACCCGCTCTTCTGAAGGTTTGCAATTAGCTTGGGCGAGAGGGAAAGGTCAAGGGCATGGCTATGCTTGTGTCCGACTGCATCCTTGACCTGAGTCCCACAACTGGCTTTCTAACAGAAATGCAAATCCTCCTGGGCCCTGAATATTGCTGAGCAGGAGGAGACCTGCCCTATGCCGTCGTGAGTGCCTTGGCTGGTACTCGTTATACTGCCATCCTTCATGCCTTTGCCACATGAGGAAGATTTCAAATGAGCCTCTGAAGTGGTTTTGTAATGGAGTCTTTATTGACAAAGGAAAGTAGAGCTGCAGAGTTAGATTCATTTTAGTTGAGCACTCATTTAAAGCTTCCAAATTTAATGAAAATTGAAGATTAGTTTTTGCAACCAAAACTCAAAAACATGTTCTTTACAGAGACATGACTAATTGAGTTTGTAAATTGTAGGTGCTTACTAGTAAATCTGCAGAAGGCCCCATGAAGGAGGGCTGGCAGCAAGTGGTCAGCTTCTACTTTCCTTCGTTATCAGTGATCTTGGCGAATCAGAGCTCAAACTACATTTTTGTTTGTTTTCTGTTAAAGATGTCAAGAGCTTTCAGTCTTTGTCCGTCCCTCCATGTTTTCAGGTTGACTCATGGATGTTTTATCATTATTCTAGTTTGGGGTAATAGAAAAGAAGCCTAAAGATTGGTGCCTCAAAGTCTAGGCCAGGCTGAAGTGGGCTGTCACTCACTTTTGGAAAGAAACTGATTGTCTTACATGTCACCTCTGTCCTGTCAACATGGCTTTTATCTTCTCACCTTCACAAGACTCTGTTTATTTCAATCACAGTATGGGAGAGTTCTGGTGCTGATGGCAGATTAAAGCCTGGTTCTGGGCCAATCAATTCTGCTCAGAAATGAGCTTCTTATGCCCTCTGCAGAGTTGAAGAGCACGGTGTCGCCCTTCAGTGGCGTTTAATCACCGACATTTCCCCCTATTAGGATGTTAATATATTTCTAGCATATAATTCTCAGTATATGTTGATATAGATAAAATTTTCTTCTGGATAAGCTTTACCCAATGATGGGTTGTTTGGTGTTTGTTTTTAAATTGTTCATACTTTTCTGTTACTTTCTCAGTTGGTAAAACTCAGGTCATTGAGTGAAGTAATCTTGAAGATATAGAAAATGGTCTGGAGATTTTTTTTTTTCAGTTTTGTGATAGACCCTTTATTTTCAAATTTATTTTTAATGCCTTTACTCAGAATATAATTATATTGGTTCTCCTCTTCCTTTTCTTCCTTTAGCTCCTCCTTGGCACCCTCCTCCAAACTCCTGCAATGTCTCCCACTCTCAAGTTGATAATCTCATTTGCTTTTATATTTGTTAAATAAACACATATATATCTATATGCTCAAGGAGATATAAATAGAAGCCTACCAAGTCAGTTTTTGTAGTTTGTGTATTTGTGGTTTCAAGGTTGATCAATCCGTAAGGAAGCTTATCACCAGGAAATGCTGATTCTCTTCCCAGCAGCTATAGTTGCTATAATTCTCTGTTTTGGGTGAGACCTTATGACAATTTTCCTCTTCCACATTAACATGACCATTATAGTACTATTGTTCCTGCCCAGTGTCTATGAGAGACTGTTTCCCAGCATACATCCTAAGATTCTGGATCTTAGAGTTTTCTACCCCTTCTGTGATATATTCCCTGACTCATAAGATGCAGGAGCTGTGATGTAGATGTTGGGGTGGGCTCACCAGGATCTGTTGATGTTGATCTCTGCATTGTCACCAGCAGTGATTTTCTGTGATGGTCCTGTCCTCGTTTGCTGTAAAGAAAGGTTTCACTGAGCTTATCTGTGGGTGTAAGGATCAGATTTAGAATGTAACAAGACATCATGCTGGCTGAGCAAAACGGCAGTAGAAGATTTATTTTTAACTTAAGGCCCGTGACATCACTAGCCCCAGAAAGTTGGCTAGGTTTCCAATTGTGGGCACAGTTTCCCTCCTGATAAATGGGCCTTCAGTCCAACTGCACAGCTGTTGATTGACACCTTAGTGCATATATTGCCATGCTAGTCGTTGCTATGGCTCATGTGTGATGCAGCTGGGTAGGAGAGTTTAATTGCTTATATCTCTTGGCAACTTGCAAAGTATTTTCTGGAACCATGAAACCTATTCTGAAGGGAAGACACTTTCAGGTCAGATTCAGCTTGAATATTAGTATATTGTTTTGAAAGTCACTTGGACTATCCTGATATTCCTCAAAAGGAGTCTGGTGTTTAGCACTCTTAGGGTTTTACTCTGTAGTTTTCAGGGAGAGTATTCTAAGCCAAGTGGCTTAACCTCCTTATATATACACGTACAAAAGTATATATGTATACACACACATGTATGTATTATATATATAATTTTAGGTAAATATAAAATGATATGGTTCCTTGAGGCTTTATCAAGCAATGTTGGCATTACTTGTCCCCCACCCCGACTTCCCCATCTGTCTTGACCTCCCTCTCTCCTCCCCATGGACGCCCCTCCTCGTTACTGCAATCCCTACTACATGTCACTTATCTCCTGTTCTTCTCCACCAAGGCCCTACCTATCTAAGGTCATCTCTATACTTTCCTGATATCCATGGTCATTTCATGTTCTATACTCAGTCTGATGAGTTGAGGCTAGGAGCTGTTGACAAGAGAGAACCTGTGGTATTTGGTTTTATAGTCCTGAGTTACCTCATCTTTTACAGTTTATTCATAAAAACCTGTGAGATGGATGGTATTCCTAATTCTTTTTTCTTTCTTTCATGGGCAGCAAAACTAACCCTTATGAGTTTATGAAGTTATACTAAAGTACTAAGTCATTTGAATTCACATCTCAAATGTAGTTGTATGCATTAAACCTAGCCGTAGCTTGTTCGTGCTCGCTCTCTCTCTCTCTCTCTCTCTCTCTCTCTCTCTCTCTCTCTCTCACACACACACACACACACACACACACACACATACACATACACACACCACCACCACCACCACCTCCTCTTCCTCCTTTTCCTCCTCTTGCTCCTCTACCACTAAAATGTTACTGCTTAGGTTCTATTCTATTCTGTGATTATTCTTGGACATGTTATTTCTAGAATACAGCCAGGCATTGATGGTGACTGCTAATGTCCCTGCTTAGGGATTTCCTACTCACTAGACAGCAATAGCTCATTCTTTTTAAGCTTAAACTATAAACACACTGGTGCAATCCATCAGAAGGATTCTTTTCCCAGGGAATATCAAGCAAACTTGTCTACAGGAGTGGTGTCAGTTTCCAGGCATCTCATGGGCTCTGCTCAGTGATTATTTTAACAGGTCCTGCTGAGGCTAGCTGAGCGAGGTGCTGTAGACAAAAGCACTCTCCTAACATTAGATCATTGGACTTTTAACAGGAGACTGTACATGCAACTGTTAAAATGAGCCAACATTTGTTAGTTTGTTTAGACTAGACTAAGTACTCATTGCTTAAATCTTCCATAGGGAAGAAGGCTTTCTTTCATTTATTTTAAGTATAGAAAGCTAGCTTTATCATATTTTCTTTCTATTTTTCTATGTGGGATATGGTGTGTGTATGTGTGTGGTATCACTCTGTGTGTGTAGGTGCAGTGACCTGTGTGTTCACATGTTGATGCCAGAGGCTGACTTGGGTGTGGGGGGGGTTCCTCTTCTTTTGTCATCCTCCACTGTTTTTTCTTTAATGAAAGGGTCTCTCCTAGAACCTGGAGCATATCATTTTGAGTAGACAAGCTGGCCACTGACCTCTGGGGGATCTGCTTGTTCTCCAAAACCCTAGCACAGGTACATGCTGCCATTGGGGATCCCGTTCACTTCCCTATGCTCACATGTCATACTGTCCACCTATGCTGTCTCTCCAGCCCTTGCTTGATTGTATTTTCTTTTAGTAGAATTGGGGTGTGAAGATTTCAGAATATTTAGGCTAGCCATAAAGAAGAAGCCAGTTAGATAGACTTCACACAGGCTCATGTGCTACTTATTTGATTATAACTTATTTCTTGTCAGGGGTGAAAGCCTGTCTGGACAGCAAAGTCCGTGAGCAGGAAGAAAAGTACGAAGTTCCTGGAGGTCCACAGAGGAGCAGGCTCAATAGAGAGCAGCTGGTATTTTTCTTTTACATATTGCTTGCTTGTTCTTATGGCTTCGTGTCATTATCATCATCGGGAAAACTTTGCCCTTTCATCCAGTTCAGGTGACTGATTAAAATTTTAATTGTGCTTGTTTCAAGCACTTGATTCTGAAGGATGATCACGGTGTGCAGTAAAATCCAGAAGGTAATAATTTCACACTGTTAATGGATTTTTGGCATCTTGAACATTCCCATAAAGCTTTCAGAATCTGAGGTAAATCTCAGATACAGGAAGTAGCTTGAAAGAAGACTTACAGCTGCTGCTCGGATTTAGTTACCATATGTCTTTATTGCCACATACTGCAGTTTTAATGGACAATATTCCATTATTCTGTTGATATATGTTGTATAGTAGAAATGACAAAGACATTTTCTAATTGGATGTCTAGCTATAACTTCATTATCTATTGTATACTGGCAGTGCATCTCTGGAACCCTAAGGCTCCTACTATGGCTGCCTAGGAGACCTTAGGTATTGTCTTAGTTGGGGTTTCCATTGCTATGAAGTGACACCATGACCAAGGCAACTCTTACAAAGGACATCACTTAATTGGGGCTGGCATACAGGTTCCGAGGGTCAGTCCATTATCATCATGGTGGGAAGCATGGCAGCATCCAGGCAGGCTTGGCTCTGGAGGAGAGAGTTCTACATATTTTTCTGAATGCAAACAGAACTGGCTCTTTCAGGCAGCTAGACAGAGGGTCTCAAAGTCCATCCCTACAGTGACACATTTCCTCCAACAAGGCTATACCTCCTAATAGTACCACTCCTTGGGCCAGACCACCACAGGTGTCATGTGGAGACCTGAATGGAGATGAACATAACCGAAAACGCTACTCTTATAGTTTAAATCCAGCCTGGTGTCTCTGGTGCTTACTGTAGGTGTCTTAAAATTTGTGAGATAAATCCTTCCCATGTGCACAAGCACCTTAATGGAGAGAATTGTGGTAAAGAGAGTTTTTGTTTGTTTGTTTGTTTTGTTTTTTTTGTTTTTTTTCTGGTTTTGTTTTGTATTGGACAGTGTCTTAGTATATAGTAAAGGCTTATCTGGAACTTGCAGTCGCCTTTTCTTCCTAGCCTTGGTGCCAGGATTATAGTTGTATACTGCTACGCTTGACGACAGATTGCTTGTTTGTTGATTGTTTTTTGTCTTTTGTCTTTTCATTAGAAAGGACATCTGAAGTTTTAAGAGTGTAAAAAGGAATCAGACAGTGGCTGAATTTTAAATGAAAAAATTCATAAATAAGAAACTCTTATTTTCCTAAGTGTGCTTCCTGATCCAGTTAGTTTGATTGAAGTACAGTTTATGCCAGCACCTCATTAGGAAGCTTCTTTCTGACACATGACTATTGTTTTTATGTCCTTCATTCACAGAGATGTTTTAAAAATATTTTGATCTACTTTTAACAGTTATTTTCTTGTTATTTCAGTTGCCGAAGCTATTTGATGGATGCTACTTCTTTTTGGGGGGAAACTTCAAGCATCATCCAAAGGATGACCTCCTTAAGCTCATCGGAGCCGCAGGAGGCAAAGTCCTCAGTAGGAAGCCCAAGCCAGACAGCGACGTGACCCAGACCATCAACACAGTTGCATACCATGCCAGGCCTGATTCTGATCAGCGCTTCTGTACGCAGTACATCATCTATGAAGATCTGTTTAACTGTCACCCAGAGAGGGTTCGGCAGGGCAAAGTCTGGATGGCTCCTTCCACCTGGCTTATCAGCTGTATAATGGCCTTTGAATTGCTTCCTCTTGATAGCTGAATGTCATACCAGGTGTACATTTTAAGTTGAACATGCATGGTTTGTGAGAACACGGCCATTGTGATATATTTCATCATTCATGTTTTTATGGACAGGTAGAACTATTTGTGTTTCCTCCCCCTTAGACTTGCAAACTTAGATAATTGATCGTAGGTTAGGGATTCATTTAGATGCCTAAACCACTTTTAAGATTTTTTTTGTTTTCTTTTGAGGTTTGGGGCTATAACTCAAGTGTTAGGGTCTTCATCAACCACGCATGAGGACAGGTTCCAGACTGGGAACGTATTTTACAAGTGGCCTGTGGTTTTTGATTGATCATGTCTTTCAGCTTTATCAACATCTGTCGATGATTAATAAGTGAGATAGCATCAAACTACTTGTTAAATCTACATGGTCTATCACTAATTTAGCATCCTTTAGTAAACAGAATATCATCTGATGATTTATTCTGCCCTTTTTATAATGATAATAGAGCATTTATGTAAATGTGCCAATGTAGATAAAAAGCTCTATCTGGAGTTATCCTGTTCTTAGGCTATATTTTAGTTTCTTGTGATTTTCTTGGCTTTCCATTGTGTTTATTCATTTAAAAATAATCTTGTGTATGCATTAGGAAATCATGATTGAAGCACTGATGTTAGTGGTAAATCAGCAGTGTGCTTGTGAGCATGCTCTCACCGCTCACATTTGCTGTCTGTCTACTGTGTTTGTGCACACCTATTTTCTGTAACTCACTTTAGTGTCACTGTTTCTTAGAAGGTCTTGCCAGTTTAGAACACTGTCAAATGTCAATGCATTAGATTAGAAGCAGTCTGGTTTTGGTAAATCTTTCTGGAAATTACTAAAGTAAGTCCCTGAAGGCTTTAATCCCTTCCCTATTCTCTCTCCCCCTCTCTTTCTCCCTCTCTCTCTCTCTCTCTCTCTCTCTCTCTCTCTCTCTCTCTCTCTCTCTCTCTCTCTGTTCCTCTCTCTCCCTCTCCCTCTCTTTTTCTTCCTCTCCCTCTCTTTCTCCCTCTCCTTTTCTCTCTCTTTCTCCCTCTCCCTCTCTCCCTCTCCCTCTTCTTCCTTCTCCTTCCCTTCCCCCTTCTCTCTCTTTCCCTCTTTCCCTCCCTCCCTTTTATTTGTGATACTAGGTATGGAAGTCAGGATCTTGTGTGTGCTAGGCAGTTACCTACTTACTACAGAACTATACCCAACTTTGAGACAATCTTGCTAAGTTAGCTAGGCTGGCCCTGATTTCACCCAGCTTTAAGTTTTTATACAGCCTTTAGGTTGGTGGGTAGGCAAAAGTTGGAGATTGCTTGGTTTATAACAGTTTTACCATATCCTACACAAACCCCATAGCAGGAAATAAGGGAGTAGGAGTGAGAAGTGTTTCTTCTTGATAAAGAAGCAGCCACAGCAGGGAAGTAGGGAGGGCACTTCCTGAGCATGCACACACTGGGAGCTTACCCTGCCTGTTCTGTAGGTTCTCATTGTGAGTGGACAGGGTCTATACTTTTAAATAGTCTTAAAGAAGAGGATGCTTTCATGCATCTTCCCAGAAGCTAAAGTCTCGGCAGCACTATGGTTTGTAGAAGGAGGTACTAAGAGCACCATCAGTTTTGTTTTTAGGAGAACAGGGCAGCATGACAAACACTGGGTGGAATCGCCCCAGCTCAGAACACTAGGAGGTGGGGAAGCCAGTCGATCATTTCAAGATCCACTTACTAGGAAAGTTTGAGATTCTGCTGATCATGGGAAAGTGAACCTTGCATAAATCCTTTGACATACTATTTTTTTATGCCAATAGGTATGTTAACATGAACACAATGTTCTCCCCGTGCTGGCTTCCCAGGCTCAACAGTTGTGACAGTCTAAAGTCTTGTCTGTGTTTGCCACATAGTTCCTTCTGAATCTGGGGCGGTGGGGGTGGGGGGTGGTGAGTAGAAGAGTAACATGTGGATTAGGCTGTTTAGGTGTGGGTTTGGGGTATAGGGTTTGTTTTCTTTTTACTTCGCACACACACTGAGCTCCTTACTGTTGGACCTGGTGTCACGGTCCTGCCCAGGGTTACATCCTCGTTCCTGTGAAGCCTTTGTGGTTCCTGTTCATGTTCCATCTCTTGCCTCACCTCCTTTCTCATTTCCCCCTCTTTCTTACTAGTATTACTATTTTTGAGTGCACTAAATACTGATTTTAAAAAAATTGTCTGACACAGGAATGTAGTCTCAGAATAATGCACAAAAGCACAGATTGAGCTACAGTAAAACTTCTCTCCCTTCCCCTTCCTCCTCCTTCTCTTCTCTGATTGCCAGGGACAACACAATTGAAGGAGATGAGCAATCATAAACAGTGACCAACTCTAAAAACAAAAGGCTTGCTCCAAAAGAGGTTACCGTTATGCATTCAGTTATGTGGACAGCTTCACTGAGTAGGGTTAACAGGTTGCAGATGTCCTGTTTCTATAGGGTGGCTCTTGAGGGCTGCTTCAGGGAGGTGAGGACGAGCGCACGTGGGAGACATCTTTGGCCTGCTCCCTGGGCTTAAGGTTAAAGATGCACAATTGTGCATCCACTTTAGGGACAAGTCGTTAGTGTCTTCACAAAGGCTATGCTGCCCGGCTGTTCGCCTTTGGTTTGGTAGCTGCTCACTGTCTCACATGCTACCCTTCCAGCTCCTTTGTTGCTTTCTTCCCACACTGCTGCGTGCTGCCGAGAATTGGCATCAAGGCTTCCAAGCGCTCTGTTTGCTCTTCTCTCCATTTATGGGCACTCCAGTCTCCGATCGCAGTAGACCCGCTTCCCAGACAGCTGCGTAACTGTCTGTTGGCCTGTCACTCTCGTCGTAGTACTTGCCATTTGCCTTCCATCATCAGCATCGGGAGCTGGTTTATGTTAGCTTTTAACACTTGAGGCTGTACTTTTATAGAAATGTTTGTAATTTTTATTTTTTCCTAATGGATTTAAACTTACAAATCATTAAAGCTATTTGTGCTTGTATCTGTATCTTGTGTAAAAATGACTTATTTTGATATTGAGGAATGAGACTCAACCTGACTTAGGAAGAAGTCTTCAAGCTGTGGTAAAGCCACGTTCATCCACAAATATAAGCATTGTTGATCTCCAGGCTGCTTAGGCCTCCATACTGCACTGATGCACCTTACAGAAGCCTGGCTTCTCCACTTTGGGCATGGTGCCAAAAAAAGGCTGTCCCAGCTTGGCCTTCTGGGCACATTTCATACATCCACAGAGAAGGGAAACCTAAGAGGAGCTTGTTTCTAACCTTAGTTCATACTTGGTGAGATACACTAGGGGTGGGGTGCTCAGTTACCTGCTGGTTATGATAATGTGACCTAGACCTATATGAGGTGCTGTGAGTAGGGTCTGAAGGTCTTTTTCTGGATTTAACTTAGCTTTGGCTTTTTCAGAAACAGTGTTTATAAGTACTAGGTAGTTATTGTAGAAATTTTGAAAAGAATAAGAAGAGATGAGGTGGAGAGATGGCTCATGGGTTTAGAACCCTGGCTGCTTTTGCAAAGGCTCTGGGAACAGTTCCCAGCACCCACATGGAAGCTTCCAACTGTCTGTAAGTGCAGTTCCATAGGATCTGATGCCTTCTGGCCACAGCCGTTTGCAACATGATACTCATGCCAGTCACAGACATATATATTCAGGCAAACATTTATAAAAATCTTAAATTTAGGAAAAATTTGTCCTAAATCTAAGATTTATAAACTAAGTTTTCTGTGACTTTTTATAGTGCTAAAAATAACCTGACACTGTTGTAAGCCATGTACATGATCCACTTACCACAGTTAGTCCTGTCCACTCTAACATATACATGTATATGGCATCTGGAAATATACTTTTCTTTAATGCATGTATATGGTCTATCCTCATTATCACCAGGGATTCGTTCCCAAGAACCCCTTTGGAAACTGAAATCTATAGATGGTCAAGTGCATTATAGAAAATGATGTTATGATGTAATGTTTGGATGTAGCCCATGTGTGTTTTTGTATTCTTTAAATTGTTTTTAGACTGGTTACCATGCCAATACAAGTACCATGAAAATACTGTTTAGAGAATAACGACAGGAAAGAAAAATTAAAAAACATATATAGAATGTTTTTTTCTAAGTTGTTGTGGTCTGTTAAGTTATGGATACTGAACTCACAAATATGGAAAACTGACAGTAGCCATCATAATTAGAGTATTAACAAAATTCCCTATATTATCGCATATATAATTTAAAATGGTTACAACCCTCTACCAATAGGCTGTATCATTATTTAATCTAGTCTCTATTATTGGCTATCTGGACGGTTTCTTTATAAATCAGAAATATTTTCTGGTCAATTTTTCATGGAGAAAATATTTTCAATATGTCAAAGGAAGTTGGCATCTTTACAGAACACACTGTACATACTTCACTTTTCAATTAGGTGCTGAAGTTAGGCTTAAAACATCCAAATGAGCCTGACTGATTACTATGTTACAAGTTGATTACATTTGGGGTGTAAGGTTCAGGACATTACAGCTTTTACGGGGTACCTATGTAGGGGTAAGTGTGGAATCTGTGTTGGATACAGGCATGGCAATACCAGATGCTTGTCCAAAGTCATGCCACTCACTGGGACAGGGTCTGCACAGCTGTCTATTAAAATACCAAATGCTATAGGAGTCTATGGGCTGATTCCTGTGGAATTACGGACTGGGCTAAGACAATGAGAAGCAGAAATGATATTCCACATTTGCTACCACCACTTCTACTTCAGCAAGCATCGGTCACCATGCTTCGGTTTACAGACCAAACTGATAAAGATCTCTCAACTCTCCCTTTATACATCTGCAGCCAAATGGTCAAATTGGTTTATTCACTGGAACTTAATACTCTAAACCAATGGTTCTCAACTTTCCCAGTGCTGCTAGACTTTTCAGTTCTTCATCTTGTGTGGTTCCCAACCATAAACATATTATTGTTGATACTTCAGAACTGACTTTGCTACTGTTATAAATGGTAATTGAAACATCTGATATTCAGGATATTTGATATATAACCTCCATGAAAGGGCCATTCCTCCTCAGGAGGGGTTGCAACCCACAGATTGAGAACCACTGATCTAACCTAACATGTTAAACAAAATCAAACAGTACAACTGAAATAATTTAGCTGAATATGGTCAGCATACAGTATATTAATCTATAAAAACTTAAAAATATGTTAATTAAAATACTTCATTTAGTCATAGACCTTGTAAATAGGTACCCTTGGCAGACAATACCAACTTAGATAAGGACAAGTAAATCATAGGCAGAGTCATAGTGACCTGTCCCCTGAACCTTCACCTAGCCAATACCCTGTTCTAAAAGATACCTGTATTCCCCCTGAACACCCACACTCCAGTGTCATCCCTTCCCCACGTCCTGTCTTTCTGTGTTTATAACCCC